ATACAAAACTTTATATATTCTTGGTAAGGCACTTAAAGCTAAACTATATAAGCTGTGGAGACAAAGATATGAACTACTTAACTGTTTTTGCCGAAGAGAGACTTAACGGCTTAACAGGGCTTTACGATGTGTGGTCAGAGAAGTCACATGGAAACATTAAGTAGATTCAACAAATAAGGCATGACAATTAAATGGACTCAGAAGACCTCTCTTCCTGACACAATCTCACATTTACTTTAGCTATTAATAGTCTGTTTTTAGAAACTTTTTAGCAGATTTAAATCCTGTATGTTTATTGCTACCAGTTGCATTGAGCCATGTAGAAAACCTTAAAGAGATTTAAAATTCTATGCACTGTTTCTGAATAACTACTACAATATTTTTCTGTACATTGACTGAATTATTCACTTCAATTGATATCACCCGATATCAAGGAAAACCCTTCCAAACCCAAAATTTCAGGATAGTTCAACAATAAATATTTCCTAGCTTTTTAGCTGCCTTCACATGGTCAAATGAGTTCTTAGCGCAAAGCAAAAACCTTTAAAATGCTATCTGTTCATATAAAGAGTTTTTAATCTATTGATATTTTCTTATTTATTTTATTTTCCAAGACATACATAACCAGAGACTATCCAAAACTTTATATATTCTTGGTAATAATGTAGAAACAAGAATCATGTTGATGATCCACTGAAGGGAGGATAAAATGTTTACAGCTACTTTACACCTACATATTAAAGCAAATATTACATAACGGATATCAGATGTTGTTAAGCAAATGTTTGCAAGGGAAGGAAAAGCCATCAAAGCAAACATTTTCTAAAACACTGTTAATGGAGGCCTATGTACTGGGCCTAACTTTCTGGTACATTATGCTTAGTTAATTGAACAATAACATTAATTTCCACATCAGTGTTTTCATTGGCACTGGACCAGCTACAAGGAATAACTAGCAATTTAGTAAGTTCACAAGCAGACACTGTGTACACCAACTGACAGCTATTTTCTTAGGTATGAATATTTTCCAAATGGAACACTGAAAAGATACGGCTTAATTTTAGATTTAGGAAGAGAAGAATCTTTCAAGAAGCTCGCTCTTTCTTTCTTTCCGTATTTCATTCCCACAAGCATTCCTCATTGAACCCAGGCAGCCCCAGTTGAGGTCAGGCTTCTTTAGGGCTGGACTGACCAGTAAAGGTTTAGCAAATGCTAACATGAACCAGTTGCTTTGCTCTTGGTTCTGCCACCTTACTAATCTAATCTTTCCTAGTTACTACACTGTCATTATTCCTTGCTATAAAGTTAACTATGCACATACAGGAAACTAACAAACCTCGTGTTTGCAATATAACAATAACTGCCAGACCTTAACACTTGTTTATATTTGTGTGTGTTTGTATGTGTAACAGTGTAAATGATACAAACAATGCATGGAATACAATTCTGGCATGTTCATGAAAAAGTCACATCTAAGGAATTCTAGTTATTATAATTTTAAGCATGAAGAGCTACTTTTTAGAAATGACAAGCAACCTAGAGTTTAACAGTGAATAAAAGTCCTTCAAGTTCCAAAATCTGCAAGCAGAAATGGAGCCTGGACCCATAAGGGCAACAATCTCCACGGCACTTTTTTTGTTCCCTTTCCAGTAAGATCACTGCCTTATTTATTGCCATTTTCTAATCCCTGAAACTAGCCCCATGCCAACCGCAGCCCAGTGAGGTTAGAAACCTGCCAAGAGAAGTAGCTGAGTCTGTTTATTAGCACCAGCTCTTCAATTTTGTGTTCCCTTAGCAGTTTCCACCTAAGCTGCAGTAGCTCTCCAGCCCTGACCTGTAGCTCTCAGCTACCCCTTAACCTAGCACTGGAACAGCCCAGTATGGACTTTGAGCTAGCAATAAAATAAAGCAAGAGATCTTTGTTAGCAATAGCCTGCCCTTCAGTTTGATTGCAGGCTAACTGTCACCCTGCTACTGTCATCGTACATCTCGGAACCTTAAGTTTAACCAAGAACCCTAGGGTTACAAAGACACCCATGAAGAGCTGGCAAATCCAGAAAAGGGGTACGTGGTACAATTACATTGTCTCCAGCAAAGCTCATAGTGCTAGAAATAGGGTAAATTGCCATTGAAATGTTCTTCAATCCATGACTACCCTGTGGTTTGATATGACAGACATTTAGAACAAAACATTTCACAACAAGTGTCTGGGCTAGAGTTGCGGTAAGGTTAGGTGCCAGCGTTTCTGACTACAGAGCCTCTTGAATCAGACCCAACAAGACGATTTAAGAAGCTTATGACCTGTGCTAGTTTGGGTCATGAGGCCACATTTCTGTTTGTGGTTGGTAAGAGCTGTCAGTTTGAGCAGAAAACTAGTACCTGCTAGAATCACCATGCTTCATTTAAACATGCAGTTGGTAAGCTGACTGTGGAGAGAGTTCGTAGTGGGAAAGTACGGTTGAGGATCGCTTGTACTGTAAGTTCATGTCTCTAGAAAACTCTGAGAAAGGACTCCCAAATCAGTCAGAAAAAAGATCAATTAAGGTATGGATTGTGCTAGTAAATGTCACAGGCTATATTTAGTCTTTGGCTGGTGAAAGTTTAAAACAAAGGAATAGGACTTATGAAATCTAGAAAAACTTCACTGATGAAAAAAGATACCTAACATTTTGGAGCTAGTGCCAGCTACTGTGGGGTGAACCTATTACCTATGTTAATAAAAGGATTCGGAAGAGACCAGACTGAAGAGCCCACCAAAAGATTACGGATTAGAATTCAGGATTTGTTTAGATTAGTTTAACTTGTACTTGCTGAACTCCAGGGGCTGGGAAAATTGTGCATTCAGAAAGTTATGAGCTCAAATAACAAAGGCTAGCGATGTTAGGAGCAACATTTAAACTTTATACTGGCAGCGTTCACTTGGCTTGGTTTAAGGTCTGATTGGGAAAAAGAGATAAATGGTCCTAGTTAAAAAAAGCCATAAGGTGTAGGCTCCATAATGCCCAAATTTGGCTAGGTAATCATCCTTGAACCAGCCCAACTTCAGTAGATTTAAGTCTGAAGCAGGTAAGAAACGGTGGTCTAATAATTAGTTTTAGGACTAGTGCTGAGGAAACTGTGAAATCTGGAGAACAGGTGCGAGTCAAATGAGACAGAAATACAGTTGGGTAGAAGAGGTACCCACCAGCAGCAACACTTTATACAAGAATAATGCAACTAATAGTTGGTGGTCTCAGCTCAGACTTTGCTTTGGGTCCAGTGTGTGTGTGGAGAGTAATTAATGGTTTCAGATAGCAATGTCCAAAGCTTTACTAAGTTTATATTATTCTCAGATCATCTAAATAGCACTGAAGTAAATTAAAGCTAGGAGAAATTCATTAGCTATGGTAACAAAATTATTAGTAAGCAGCTTCCATGATAAACTGAAGGCTGGTACCTGGGATCACAAACTAGTGCTTATCCAGAGCCAAAAGGGAACATACCCAAATGGAGAAAAGTTAGGCACAGTGTCACAAGGAGGACATTCACGATGACAGAGGCTTATCACAAGTGTTTGACTGGGCACAGGCAGGGCTGCTGTATTGTGTTTTTGTTCATACCAAAGAGGACTGCAATTACCTCCGCATGTCAGTCTCCCATCATAAAGATCTAGCTTACAGATTAAAGGTAAATTTTTATGATTTACCTATCATAAAGATATGACTCATAAAGATAGGTAAATAGCTCCACACTCATGAGAGAATTCAGGTTTGGGGAACTAAAAGGCAATTCAGGAGTGTCACAAAACTTACTACTATGTTACCCCAAGTATGTTCCGTGAATAAACCACACATTGGAAACAAGTTCTACCTTCAGAGGAGCGTAAAGGAGCTAGCCTGCTCCCGAGTTCGAGCCTGGTTTCGCTCAGCACGGAACAGTAAATCGCACAAACCGCGCCAGGCTTTTCACCGCGGCGCACCGGCCCCGCTCCCCGGCGCTGCAGACAGCCCAGCCGCCGCCCTCTCAGCGAGCCCTGAAAAAACGTCTTAATCCCAACAGGCATTTCCACGGGAAGGAGAAGGGCTCAGAGCTGCCTCTCCCTCGCGGCACCTACACCGACCGCCTCCGCAAGC